CTCGGCCCCACTGCAATGGGGGGCAATGGGGTCAGTGGGGGTAATGGGGGGTAATGGGGGTAATGGGGGTAATGGGGTAATGGGGGGTAATGGGGGTAATGGGGGTAATGGGGGTAATGGGGGTAATGGGGGTAATGGGGTCAATGGGGGTAATGGGGGTAATGGGGGTAATGGGGGGTAATGGGGGTAATGGGGGTAATGGGGGTAATGGGGGTAATGGGGGTAATGGGGTCAATGGGGGTAATGGGGGGTAATGGGGGTAATGGGGGGTAATGGGGGTAATGGGGGTAATGGGGATAAGGGGATAATGGGGGTAATGGGGGTAATGGGGGTAATGGGGGTAATGGGGGTAATGGGGGTAATGGGGGTAATGGGTCAATGGGGGTAATGGGGGTAATGGGGGTAATGGGGGTAATGGGGTCAGTGGGGGTAATGGGGGTAATGGGGGGTAATGGGGATAATGGGGGTAATGGGGGTATGGGGGTAATGGGGGTCAATGGGGGTAATGGGGATAATGGGGGGTAATGGGGTAATGGGGGTAATGGGGGGTAATGGGGGGTAATGGGGTCAGTGGGGGTAATGGGGGCAATGGGGGTAATGGGGGTAATGGGGGGCAATGGGGGGCAATGGGGTAATGGGGGGCAACGGGGTCAGTGGGGCACAATGGGGCTAATGGGGGTAATGGGGGGCAGTGGGGTCAGTGGGGGATCAATAGGGTTAATGGGGGGCAATGGGGGGTAATGGGGATAATGGGGGGCAATGGGGTCAGTGGGGGTAATGGGGGTAATGGGGGGCAATGGGGGTAATGGGGTCAGTGGGGGGCAACGGGGGTAATGGGGGGCAATGGGGTCAATGGGGGTCATGGGGGTCAGTGGGGGTAATGGGGGTCAATGGGGGTAATGGGGGGCAATGGGGGGCAAGGGGTCAGTGGGGGTAATGGGGTAATGGGGTCAGTGGGGGGCAATGGGGGTAATGGGATCATTATGGGATGCACGCTATAGGATGCATATTATGGGATGTGCATTATGGGATGGCGGTGATGCACTGTGCATTATGGGATGGCGGTGACGGGCCGTGCATTATGGGATGGCGGTGACGGGATGTGCATTATGGGATGGCGGTGATGGACTGTGCATTATGGGATGGCGGTGACGGGATGTGCATTATGGGATGGCGGGGCCGGGCTGTGCATTATGGGATGGCGGTGATGGACTGTGCATTATGGGATGGCGGTGACAAGCTATGCATTATGGGATGGCGGTGACGGGATGGCGGGGCCGGGCTGTGCATTATGGGATGTCTGTGACGGGATGGCGGTGACGGGATGGCGGTGACGGGCTGTGCATTATGGGATGTCTGTGACGGATGGCGGTGACGGGCTGTGCATTATGGGATGGCGGGGCCGGGCACTCACCGTGGGGGCGGGGGCTCGGTGCGCGCCCACACCACGCGCCGGCACCGTCCCGCTCGCGGGCGCCCCTCTCCGGGTCTCCTCCCGCCCGCAGGGTGGGAAACTCCTCCCCGGGAGAACCGGCCCGGCAGCACGGGCGCCCGGGAGCCTGCGGGTCACGTGGTCAGCCTCACGTGATACACGGTGGAGGGATCATGTGATATGGGGCGGGGGGGAGGCACTCACCATCGGCTGGGGGTCCTTGGGTACCGCTGGCCTGAGCCCAGGACTTTGCCCCGCTTGCGGGCGGGGGGGGGTCTATGGGGGGAAATGGGGGTTATGGGGGGTAAAGGGGGTCAATGGGGGCTCTATAGGGGGTTATAGGGGGTAAAGGGGGTCAATAGGGGGCTCTATAGGGGCGTAAAGGGGGTCTGGGGGGCTCTATATGGGGTTATGGGGGGTAAAGGGGATCAATGGGGCTCTATAGGGGGTAAAGGGGGTCAATAGGGGGCTCTATAGGGGGGTAAAGGGGGTCTGGGGGTGGGTCTATAGGGGGGTTATGGGGGTAAAGGGGGTCTGGGGGGCTCTATAAGGGGTTATGGGGGGGTAAAGGGGGTCAATGGGGGCTCTATAGGGGTTATAGGGGGTAAAGGGGGTCAATAGGGGGCTCTATAGGGGCGTAAAGGGGGGTCTGGGGTTGGGTCTATAGGGGTTATGGGGGGGTAAAGGGGGTCAATGGGGCTCTATAGGGGGTTATAGGGGGTAAAGGGGGTCAATGGGGGCTCTATAAGGGGTTATGGGGGGGTAAAGGGGGTCAATGGGGGGCTCTATAAGGGGTTATGGGGGGGTAAAGGGGGTCAATGGGGGCTCTATAGGGGGTTATGGGGGGGTAAAGGGGGTCGGGGGTGGGTCTATAGGGGGTTATGGGGGGGTAAAGGGGGTCAATGGGGGCTCTATAGGGGGTTATGGGGGTAAAGAGGGTCAATGGGGGGCTCTATAAGGGGTTATGGGGGTCTCAAGGGGGTCAATGGGGAGGCTCTATAGGGGGTTATGGGGGACTTTGGGGTCAATGGAGGGGGCTCTATAGGGGCTTATGAGAGGGTAGAGGGGTCTATGGGAGTCAGAGAAGGGTTTGGGGGTCTATGGGGGGAAACTGGGGCTATGGAGGGGTAAAAGGGATCTATAGGGGGGGATTTGGGGGTCCCAAAGGGATGCTGGGAGCCCTAGGGGGGGGATTTGGGGGTCCCAAGAGGGGGGATTTGGGGGTCCCTGGGGGGGGATTTGGGGGGTCACAAGGGGGGGATTTGGGGGTCCCAAATGGATGCTGGGGTCCCTAGGGGGGAATTTGGAGGTCCCTAGTGGGTTATTTGGGGGTCCCAAGGGGGGATTTGGGGGTCCCAAGGGGGGAATCGGTTGGGTCCCTAGGGGGGGATTTGGGGGTCCCAAATGGATGCTGGGGTCCCTGGGGGGATTTGGGGGTCCCTAGGGGGTATTTGGGGGTCCCAAAGGGATTTTGGGGTCCCTAGGGGGGGATTTGGGGGTTCCAAAGGGGGGATTTTGGGGGTCCCTGGGGGGGGATTATGGGGTCCCTGGGGGGGGATTATGGGGGTCCAAAGGGGGGGGGGAATTTGGGGGTCCAAAGGGGGGGGGATTTGGGGGTCCAAAGGGGGGGGGGGATTTGGGGGTTCCAAAGGGGGGGGGATTTGGGGGTTCCAAAGGGGGGGGGATTTGGGGGTTCCAAAGGGGGGGGGATTTGGGGGTTCCAAAGGGGGATTTGGGGGTCCCTAGGGGGGATTTGGGGGTCCAAAGGGGGGGATTTGGGGATCCAAAGGGGGGTATTTGGAGATCCCAAAGGGGGATCTGGGGTTCCAAAGGGGGGATTTGGGGGTCCCAAAGGGGGGGATTTGGGGGTCCCAAAGGGGGGGATTTGGGGGTCCCTGGGGGGGGATTTGGGGTCCCAAAGGGGGGGATTTGGGGGTCCCCAAAGGGGGGGATTTGGGGGTCCCAAAGGGGGGATTTGGGGGTCCAAAGGGGGGGATTTGGAGGTCCCAAAGGGGGGATTTGGGGGTCCCTGGGGGGGGATTTGGGGGTCCCGGTGCCCACCTCGGGGCTCGCTGCCCCCCCCTTCCCCTTCTGGCTGCCGGCCGCAGGCGTCTGCGAATCCAGCGGCGACGGCGACAGCGGCGGGGAGGTGCTGAGTGCTCGGAACTGCGGCGGGTCGCCATGGTTACCGCCCTCCGTTACCCTGGTTACCCCGCGCTGTTCCCATCACCTCCCACACCCCCCCCCCCTCCCCACCACGCTCCAGGGCCTGCTCACCCCTCCACAGCATCAGCAATGGGGGGGGGTTCCCCTAACAGCCACCCCCCGTTGCCATGGTTACCCCCCCTCAGTTACCCCAGCTGTTCCCTCACCTCCCACCGCACCACCAATGGGAACGGCGGGGGGGGGAGAAGCGGTTACCGGTAACAGCCCCCCCGTTACCATGGTTACCCCCCGCTGTTCCCTCACCACCAATGGGAACTGCGGCGGGGGGGGGGAGGGAAGAATCAGTTACCGGTAACAGCCCCCCCCCCGTTACCATGGTTACCCCCCGCTGTTCCCTCACCACCAATGGGAACGGGGGGGGGGAGAGAGAGGACGCTACCGGTAACCCCCCCCCTGTTACCATGGTTACCCCCCGCTGTTCCCTCACCACCATTGGAACCGGGGGGGGGGGGGAGAGAAGCCGTTACCGGTAACAGCCCCCCCCGTTACCATGGTTACTCCACGCTGTTCCCTCACCACCAATTGGAACCGGGGGGGGGGGAGAGAAGCCGTTACCATGGTTACTCCACGCTGTTCCCTCACCACCAATGGAAACGGGGGGGGGGGGGGGTAGAAGCCGTTACCGGTAACAGCCGCCCCGTTGCCATGGTTACCCCACGCTGTTCCCTCACCACCAATGGGAAGTGCGGCGGGGGGGGGGGGGAGAGAAGCCGTTACCGGTAACAGCCCCCCGTTACCATGGTTACCCCCCGCTGTTCCCTCACCACCAATTGGAACCGGGGGGGGGGAGAGAAGCCGTTACCGGTAACAGCCGCCCCGTTACCATGGTTACTCCACGCTGTTCCCTCACCACCAATGGAAACTGGGGGGGGGGGGGGTAGAAGCCGTTACCGGTAACAGCCGCCCCGTTACCATGGTTACCCCCTCCGTTACCCCACGCTGTTCCCTCACCACCAATGGAAACGGGGGGGGGGGGGGGGTAGAAGCCGTTACCGGTAACAGCCGCCCCGTTACCATGGTTACTCCACGCTGTTCCCTCACCACCAATGGAACCGGCGGCGGGGGGGGTAGAAGCAATTACCGGTAACAGCCCCCCCGTTACCATGGTTACCCCACGCTGTTCCCTCACCACCAATGGAACCGGCGGGGGGGGTAGAAGCAGTTCCCGGTAACAGCCCCCCCCCCCCTCCATCCCGTTGCCATGCCTCCCTCCCTCCGTTAACTCGCGGCTGTTCCCCCGTTCTCCCACTCCCCCCCCCCGTTCCTCCGCTCACCTCCGGGGCTCGCCGCCCTCCTGCCTGCTGGCCCATCCCGAGCCGTCGCGGGGCACCAAGGCCACGTTGGGGTCGTTGCCTTTGTTCTCGGCCTTCAGGCTCGGTAAGTTGGCGGGGGGGGGCATGCGGCGGGCCGGTACCTTCCCCAGGCTCTGCAGCCCATGGCGGCCACCGCTGCAACGGAGGCGGGTAACGGAGTCACCGGAGAGAGGTTTGGATCCCGCTTCAATGCATCCGGTTAACGGGGATAAAGAGGGGGGGGGATAAGGGAAGCGGAGCTCCGGTTCCGTTACCGGCGGCCCTCGGAGCGTCGAGCGGGCGGCCCCGGTAGGTGTCAGCGAGGCTGAGGCAAGCGTAGCGCCGGCCCTCCCTGCCCCTCGCCGCCGGGCGATCGCTCATCGCGCTGCCAACGCATCGGCCCTCGCCGCGGTACCGACATGGGCCTTCACGCCGCCGCCGCCGCCATCTTGGAAGCTGGAGGCAAGATGGAGGCGATGAAAGGGGAAAGGGAAATGGAGGGGAGGGGGGGGGGGTGTTGGGGGTTAAATGGCCGCCATCCGCCCCGCCATACCCACCGGATGGAGTCCGGGGAGCGATGGCGGACGCGGAGGAGGGGGTGGAGGGAGCGGATGGCGTCGGTGGGGGCGGATGGGGGCGGATGAACCGGGGACCCCCCCCCCCCTACCCCGCCGCCTTCCTCCTTGATGCCGGCAGCGACCCCGCGGCCACTTCCGGCTTCTTCCTGCGCGGCTCAAGACGCTATTGGTTGAGGCGGAGGTGGGCTGGGCCAATGGGAGAGCGCGGAGGAGGAAGGGGAGGGAGGAGGCGTTGCCGTGGTAACGGAGGGGGGGGTTGGTTGCCGGGGTAACAGCGGGGGGGGGGGGGGGGCAACGGCGTGGTTGCTATGGGAACGGGGGGTGAAGGGGAGATGGGGAGGATCTATGGGGGTGGATCTATGGGGGAGGGTCTATGGGGTGGGTCTATGGGGTGGATCTATGGGGAGGGTCTATGGGGAGGGATCTGTGGGGTGGGTCTATGGGGTGGATCTATGGGGAGGGTCTGTGGGGTGGATCTATGGGGTGGATCTATGGGGTGGGTCTGTGGGGTGGATCTATGGGGTGGATCTATGGGGAGGGTCTGTGGGGTGGATCTATGGGGTGGATCTATGGGGTGGATCTATGGGGTGGGTCTGTGGGGTGGATCTATGGGGTGGGTCTGGGGGGTGGGATCTATGGGGTGGATCTATGGGGAGGGTCTGTGGGGTGGATCTATGGGGTGGGTCTGTGGGGTGGATCTATGGGGTGGATCTATGGGGAGGGTCTATGGGGTGGGTCTGTGGGGTGGATCTATGGGGTGGATCTATGGGGGTGGGTCTGTGGGGTGGATCTATGGGGTGGATCTATGGGGTGGATCTATGGGGTGGGTCTGTGGGGTGGATCTATGGGGAGGTCTATGGGGTGGGTCTGGGGGGTGGATCTATGGGGTGGATCTATGGGTTGGGTCTGTGGGGAGGGTCTGTGGGGTGGATCTATGGGGTGGATCTGTGGGGTGGGTCTATGGGGTGGGTCTATGGGGTGGATCTATGGGGTGGATCTATGGGGAGGGTCTATGGGGTGGATCTATGGGGTGGATCTATGGGGTGGATCTATGGGGAGGGTCTATGGGGTGGGTCTGTGGGGTGGATCTATGGGGAGGGTCTGTGGGGTGGATCTATGGGGTGGGTCTGTGGGGTGGATCTATGGGGAGGGTCTATGGGGTGGGTCTGTGGGGAGGGTCTATGGGGAGGGTCTGTGGGGTGGATCTATGGGGTGGATCTATGGGGAGGGTCTATGGGGAGGGTCTGTGGGGTGGATCTATGGGGTGGATCTATGGGGTGGGTCTGTGGGGTGGGTCTATGGGGTGGGTCTATGGGGAGGGTCTGTGGGGTGGATCTATGGGGAGGGTCTATGGGGTGGGTCTGTGGGGAGGGTCTATGGGGAGGGTCTGTGGGGTGGATCTATGGGGTGGATCTATGGGGTGGGTCTGTGGGGTGGGTCTGTGGGGTGGATCTATGGGGTGGGTCTGTGGGGTGGATCTATGGGGTGGGTCTGGGGGGTGGATCTATGGGGTGGATCTATGGGTTGGGTCTGTGGGGAGGGTCTGTGGGGTGGATCTATGGGGTGGATCTATGGGGAGGGTCTATGGGGCAGGTCTGGGGGAGGGTCTATGGGGCGGGTCTGTGGGGTGGATCTATGGGGTGGATCTATGGGGATGGTCTGTGGGGTGGATCTATGGGGTGGGTCTGTGGGGAGGGTCTGTGGGGTGGGTCTGTGGGGTGGATCTATGGGGTGGATCTATGGGGATGGTCTGTGGGGTGGATCTATGGGGTGGGTCTGTGGGGTGGATCTATGGGGAGGGTCTATGGGGAGGGTCTGTGGGGTGGATCTATGGGGAGAGTCTATGGGGAGGGTCTGTGGGGTGGATCTATGGGGAGGGTCTATGGGGTGGATCTATGGGGTGGGTCTGTGGGGTGGGTCTATGGGGAGGGTCTATAGGGCGGATTTATGGGGCGGATCTATAGGGGCGGATCTATGGGGCGGGTCTATAGGGCGGATCTATAGGGGGTGGATCTATGGGGCGGGTCTATAGGGCGGATCTATAGGGGGCGGATCTATGGGGCGGGTCTATAGGGCGGATCTATAGGGGGCGGATCTATGGGGCAGGTCAATGGGGCCGCGACACTCGGGACTTTCCAGCGTCCGTTTATTGGGGGTTCCGGTGACGTCAGAGCCCCAAAACCCCGCGGTTTCACCCCAAAAGAGGCCCCATAAATACATAAATAGCGCAATAAATAACGGCCCCTCCCCCCCCGAGAACCCTGCCCCCACACCTCCATTGATCACTATTGGTTCCTATTGATCCCTATTGGTTCCTATTGATCCCTATTGGTTCCTATTGATCCCTATTGATCTCCATTGATCCCTATTGGTCCCTATTGATCCCTATTGATCCCTATTGGTTCCTATTGATCCCTATTGGTCCCTATTGATCCCTATTGATCTCCATTGATCTCTATTGGTCCCTATTGATCCCTATTGGTCCCTATTGATCCCTATTGATCTCCATTGATCCCTATTGGTCCCTATTGATCCCTATTGATCTCCATTGATCCCTATTGGTCCCTAGTGGTTCCTATTGATCTCCATTGATCTCCATTGATCCCTATTGGTCCCTATTGATCCCTATTGATCTCCATTGATCCCTATTGGTCCCTATTGATCTCCATTGATCCCTATTGATCTCCATTGATCCCTATTGGTCCCTATTGGTCCCTATTGATCTCCATTGATCCCTATTGACCCCTATTGATCTGTATCGCTCTCCATTGACCCCTATTGATCCGCATCGCTCTCTATTGACCCCTATTGATCCCTATTACTCTCCATTGACCCCTATTGCTCCCTATTGCTCTCCATTGACCCCTATTGATTCGCATCACTCTCTATTGACCCCTATTGATCCCTATTGCTCTCCATTGACCCCTATTGATCCCTATTGCTCTCCGTTGACCCCAATTGATCCGCATCGCTCTCCATTGACCCCTATTGATCCCTATTGCTCTCCGTTGACCCCAATTGATCTGCATCGCTCTCCATTGACCCCTATTGATCCGTATTGCTCTTCATTGACCCCTATTGATCCGTATCGCTCTCCATTGACCCCTATTGATCTGTATTGCTCTCCATTGACCCCTATTGATCCCTATTGCTCTCCATTGACCCCTATTGCTCTCCATTGACCCCTATTGATCCCTATTGATCCGTATCGCTCTCCATTGACCCCTATTGATCCGCATTGCTCTCCATTGACCCCTATTGATCCGCATTGCTCTCCATTGACCCCTATTGCTCCCCATCACTCCCTATTGCTCTCCATTGACCCCTATTGACCCCTATTGATCCGTATTGCTCTCCATTGATCCCTATTGATCCGTATCGCTATTGACCCCTATTGTTCCCCATTGCTCCCTATTGCTCTCCATTGACCCCTATTGATCCGTATTGCTCTCCATTGACCCCTATTGATCCCTATTGCTCCCTATTGCCCTCCATTGACCCCTATTGCTCCCTATTGCTCTCCATTGATCCCTATTGCTCCCTATTGCTCTCCATTGATCCCTATTGATCCGTATCGCTCTCCATTGACCCCTATTGACCCCTATTGCTCTCCATTGATCCCTATTGCTCCGCATCGCTCTCCATTGACCCCTATTGATCCCTATTGCTCTCCGTTGACCCCATTGATCCCTATTGCTCTCCATTGACCCCTATTGATCCGTATCGCTCTCCATTGACCCCATTGATCTGCATTGCTCTCCATTGACCCCTATTGATCCCTATTGCTCTCCATTGACCCCTATTGATCCGTATCGCTCTCCATTGACCCCATTGATCTGCATTGCTCTCCATTGACCCCTATTGATCCGTATCGCTCTCCATTGACCCCATTGATCTGCATTGCTCTCCATTGACCCCTATTGATCCGCATCGCTCTCCATTGACCCCTATTGATCCGCATCGCTCTCCATTGACCCCTCTTGCTCCATATCTCCCCCCATTGCCCCCTCCCCCCCCCCCCTCCCCTCCCCCCCTTCAATCCACCCCCACCACCCCAAAATAAGCCCTCCCCCCCCCGTGCAGGTCCAGGAACCTCCCGGCCGTGGTGGTGGCGGCCAATTGGTCCCCTCGGCGCAGCTGGAACACGGCGCCCTGGTACAGGGACTCGACCCACAGCCCGTCGCCACGGCAACAGCGGGGATGCCGGTCGCCGTGGCAACGCCGCCTCCGGTCTCCGTGGCAACGGCATCTCCGGTCTCCATGGCAACGGCATCTCCGGTCTCCATAGCAACACCGCCTCCGGTCTCTATGGCATCCGGCGCACACGGAGCGCACGGCCGTGAGCAGGGGCACATCCTGGGGATACTCTTGGGAATAACGGGACACGGCCAAGCGGAGCAAAGGGGGGGGAGGGGGGGAGGGGGGGGAGGGGCAGCCTCGCCCCTCCCCCGCTTTGTTGTCGTCATCATCATCATCATCATCCTCATCCCATCCCCCGTGGAAGGCGGCGGCGGCGTAGACGAAGTAGAGGCCGTCGCGAGGGACCACGAGGCGGTTGCCGTGGAGACGGACCCCGTTGCGCATCTGCGCGGGAGCCACGTCGGCGGCCCATTGGAGGGAGGGGGAGGAGGAGGAGGCTGCGGGGGAGGGGATGGATGGATCCGGATCCGTGTCCCGGAGAGCTGATAGAGCCACATCCATGTCCCGTAGATCCATGGCCCGTAATAACCCATATCCCATGTCCATATCCCATAATACCCCATATCCCATATCCATATCCCATATCCATATCCCATAATAACCCATATCCCATATCCATATCCCATATCCATATCCCATAATACCCCATATCCCATACCCATATCCCATATCCATATCCCATAATACCCCATATCCCATATCCATATCCCATATCCATATCCCATAATACCCCATATCCATATCCCATATCCATATCCCATAATACCCCATATCCCATATCCATATCCCATATCCATATCCCATAATACCCCATATCCATATCCCATATCCATATCCCATAATACCCTATATCCCATATCCATATCCCATACCCATATCCCATACATCCATATTCCGTACACCCATATCCCGTATCCATGTTCCATACATCCATCTCCCATATATTCATATTCCATACATCCATATCCCATAATAACTCATATCCCATATCCATATCCTATATCTATATCCCATAGATCTATAACTCATATATCCAAATCCCATAGTACTCCATATCCCTTATCCATATCCCATAATAACCCATATCCCATATCCCATATCCCATAATACCCCATATCCATATCCCATACATCCATATCCCATAATACCCCATATCCCATACCCATATCCCATATCCATATCCCATACCCATATCCCATAGATCTATATCCCATAGATCCATATCCCATAGATCCATATCCCATACCCATATCCCATATCCCCAATAGATCCATATCCCATATATCCCATATATCCATACCTCATATGTTGTATATCCATATCCATATCCCATATCCATATCCCATATACCCAATACATCCATATCCTGTATCCATACCCCATAGATCCAATAGATCATATCCATATCCCATACCCCATACTCCATACCCCATATCCCATAATACCCCATATCTCATATATCCATATCCCATTTCCCATACCCCATACCCCATACCCCATATCCCATACCCCATATCCCATACCCCACATCCCATATCCCATACCCCACATCCCATATCCCATATCCCATACCCCATATATCCATACCCCATATCCCATAATACCCCATAATATCCCATAATACCCCATAATATCCCATAATACCCCCTATCCCATAATACCCCCTATATCCACCCCCCATATCGCCCCATTGGCACTCACCCACAACGTGAGCAGCAGGTTTGTCCCCATAGGGGTCATGCAGCAGCTTGGGGCCTGCTGTAGGGACAAAGGGAATATATTATGGGATATTGTGGGATATTATGGGATATTATGGGATATTGTGGGATATTATGGGATATTGTGGGATATTATGGGGTATTATGGGATAGGGGGTATGGGAATTGTCTCTCACCCATCAATGGGGGCATCGGCAGCTCTGGGGATTCCTGTGGGGAGAGAGGGGTCAATGGGAGAGAGGGACCCAGGGAGACAGGGATGGAGACAGGGATGGAGACAGGGATATAGGGATATAGGGATACAGGGATGGAGACAGGGATGGAGACAGGGATGGAGACAGGGATGGAGACAGAGATACAGGGATGGAGACAGGGATACAGGGATATAGGGATATAGGGATGGAGACAGGGATGGAGACAGGGATGGAGACAGGGATACAGGGATATAGGGATACAGGGATAGAGACAGGGATGGAGACAGGGATATAGGGATGGAGACAGGGATGGAGACAGGGATGGAGACAGGGATACAGGGATATAGGGATACAGGGATAGAGACAGGGATGGAGACAGGGATATAGGGATGGAGACAGGGATGGAGACAGGGATGGAGACAGGGATACAGGGATATAGGGATACAGGGATGGAGACAGGGATGGAGACAGGGATATAGGGATGGAGACAGGGATGGAGACAGGGATGGAGACAGGGATACAGGGATATAGGGATACAGGGATGGAGACAGGGATGGAGACAGGGATATAGGGATGGAGACAGGGATGGAGACAGGGATATAGGGATGGAGACAGGGATGGAGACAGGGATATAGGGATGGAGACAGGGATATAGGGATGGAGACGGGGATGGAGACAGGCAGGTATGGACACACATGGATACAAGGACACACATGGATGGACACATGGTTGGTACCAGGGACGGACACGCATGGATGCATGGACACGTGGATACATGGATACACATGGACACACATGGATGCATGGACACACGTGGATACATGGATACACATGGACACACATGGATCACACACATGGATCACACATGGATACATGGATACACATGGACACACATGGATCACACATGGACACACATGGATCACACACATGGATCACACATGGATACATGGATACACATGGACACACATGGATACACATGGACACACATGGATCACACATGGATCACACACATGATCCCACATGATCCCATGTGATCCCGCACACATGATCCCACACACATGATCTCACATTATCCCACACAGATCCCACATGATCCCCCCCCATCCCACATAGATCCCACACGGTCCCACACACATGATCCCACATGATCCCCCCCCCATCCCATGTGCTCCCATGTGATCCCACACACATGATCCCACACAGATCCCCCATGATCCCCCCCCATCCCATGTGCTCCCCCATGATCCCACACAGATCCCCCATGATCCCACACAAATCCCATGTGCTCCCACATGATCCCACACAGATCCCACATGATCCCCCCCCCCATCCCACATAGATCCCACACGGTCCCACACAGATCCCACATGATTCCCCATGATCCCACACACATGATCCCACATGATCCCCCCCATCCCCCATGATCCCACACAGATCCCATGTGCTCCCACGTGATCCTACACACATGATCCCACATGATCCCCCCCATCCCCCATGATCCCACACAGATCCCATGTGCTCCCACGTGATCCTACACACATGATCCCACATGATCCCCCCCATCCCACATGATCCCACACAGATCCCATGTGCTCCCACGTGATCCCACACGATCCCCCCATGATCCCACACAGATCCCACATGATCCCACACACATGATCCCCCCCATCCCACATGATCCCACACGATTCCCCCACATGATCCCACACAGATCCCACATGATCCCACACACATGATCCCACATGATCCCCCCCATCCCACATGATCCCACACACATGATTCCCCATGATCCCACATGATCCCACACGATTCCCCCACATGATCCCACACAGATCCCACATGATCCCACACACATGATTCCCCATGATCCCACACAGATCCCACATGATCCCCCCCATCCCACATGATCCCACACGATTCCCCCACATGATCCCACGTGATCCCACCCAGATCCCCCATGATCCCCCCCCATGATCCCACATGATCCCACACGATTCCCCCACGTGATCCCCCCCCGATCCCCCATGATCCCCCCCTCCTCCCCCCCCACGACCCCCCCCCGATCCCCCCCAATCCCACGTGATCCCCCCCCGATCCCACGTGATCCCGCGCCCGGGTTCCGGTACCCGGGGCAGGCCGAGGCCGAGGCTCAGGACCGGGATCAGGACCGGGATCAGGATCGGGCCCAGGGCGGGGCCGGGGGGCGGGGCCATGGCTCCGGTTCCAGCTCCCGCCTGAGGCCGCCGCGGGCCCTTTAAGGCCCTGGGGGGGGGGGGAGGGGGAGGGGGGGGGTATCCGGTCCCTCCCCCCACACCCGGGCACTGAAAGGAGGGGGAGGGGGAGGGGGGGGGAGGGGTGGGGGTTTCCCCGCCCCCGCTTCCGGGCGTTGGAACGGCCCCGATGGGGGGAGGGGGGTTCCCCTGGGGGGGGGAGGGGTGATGGGGGCTATGGGGGGGCTATGGGGCGCGATGGGGAGCTATGGGGAGGCTATGGGGAGCTATGGGGAGCTATGGGGGAGCTATGGGGGGGCTATGGGGCGGGATGGGGGGCTATGGGGAGCTATGGGGGGGCTATGGGGAGCTATGGGGGGGCTATGGGGAGCTATGGGGGGGCTATGGGGCGCGATGGGGGGCCTATGGGGGGCTATGGGGAGCTATGGGGGAGCTATGGGGAGCTATGGGGAGGCTATGGGGCGCGATGGGGGGCTATGGGGGGGCTATGGGGAGCTATGGGGAGCTATGGGGAGCTATGGGGAGCTATGGGGGGGCTATGGGGAGCTATGGGGGGCTATGGGGAGCTATGGGGGGGCTATGGGGTGTCCAATGATGGGCTATGGGGAGCTATGGGGGGGATATGGGGTGTCCAATGATGGGCTATGGGGCGTCCAATGATGGGCTATGGGGGGGCTATGGGGCGTCCAATGATGGGCTATGGGGAGCTATGGGGTGTCCAATGATGGGCTATGGGGCGCTATGGGGTGTCCAATGATGGCTATGGGGCGCTATGGGGGTTCCCATGATGGGCTATGGGGAGCTATGGGGGTTCCCATGATGGGCTATGGGGAGCTATGGGGGTTCGCATGATGGGCTATGGGGAGCTATGGGAGGGCTATGGGGGTCCCATGATGAGCTATGGGGCACTATAGGTGTCCTATGGGGTGTCCCATGATGAGCTATAGGGCACTGTGGGGTGCAACGGGGGGACGTGATGGGCTATAGGGTGCTATGGGGGGGGTCCCATGATGGGCTATGGGGCACCATGGGGTGCTACGGGGTGTCCCATGATGGGTTATGGGGTGCTATGGGGCACTATGGAGGGCTATGGGTGTCCTATGGGGTGTCCCTATGGGGGGGTCCCATGACGGTTCTATGGGGTGCTATGGGGTGTTCCACGGTAGGCAATGGGGTGCTGGGGGGGGGGGGGGGTGGTGAGTGTCCCTATGGGGAGCTATGGGGCGCTATGGGGCATCCCATGATGAGCTATGGGGCGCTCTGGGGTGCTCCATGATGGGCTATGGGGCACTATGGAGGGCAATGGGTGCCCTATGGGGTGTCCCTATGGGCAGTGTGGTGTGCTATGGGGTGTTCCATGGTAGGCTATGGGGTGCTATAGGGTGTCCTATGATGGGCTATGGGGCACTATAGGGAGCTATGGGGTGCCCCATGATGTGCTATGGGGGGCTATGGGTGTCCTATGGGGTGTCCCATGCGGCACTATGGGGTGCTGTGGGGGGGTCCCGTGATGGGATATGGGGCACTGTGGGGTGCAATGGGGTGTTCCACGGTGATCTATGGGGCGCTATGGGGCAGATCTATGGGGGCAGATGGGGCGCTATGGGGGGGTCCCACGATGAGCTATGGGGGGGTCCCACAAGGAGCTATGGGGCACTATGGGGCTGGTCTATGGGGGCAGATGGGGCGCTATGGGGGGGTCCCACGAGGAGCTATGGGGTGCTATGGGGGGGTCCCACAAGGAGCTATGGGGCGCTATGGGGCTGGTCTATGGGGGCAGATGGGGCAGGTCTACGGGGGGGTCCCACGATGAGCTATGGGGCGCTATGGGGCAGATCTATGGGGGCAGATGGGGCGCTATGGGGGGGTCCCACGAGGAGCTATGGGGCGCTATGGGGGGCCCGTAATGGTCTATGGGGCACTATGGGGATTCCAGGGGGATTCCAATGGGTCCCGGGGCGGTTTGGGGATGTCCCATGATGAGCTATGGGGCGCTATGGGGTGTTCCGTGATGAGCTATGGGGCTCCACCGTGGGTCTGGGGCATTCCAGGGGGGTTCCAAAGGGTCCCATGAAGAGCTATGGGGCAGACGGTGGGGCCCCGCCCGGGGTGGGGGGAAACCGTAGCTGTGGGGCCGGATGTGGGGCAGCCCCAGGGGAAGCCATGGGGCGGATGTAGGGCAGCCGTGGGGCGGGTGTGGGGCAGGATGTGGGGCAGGCCCAACGCTCATCCTGTTCCAGGGCCCAGCCATAGGGGTCACAGAAGAGATGCTGTGGGGCAGCCCCCTGAGCCCCCCAGATGCCCCCTCCCCAGCCCCACATCTGCTCCACAACTGCCCCCCACATCTGTGGGGCAGGAAAGGGGTCTATGGGGCTGGGAAAGGGCTATGGGGCAGGGCTATGGGGCAGATGTGGGGCTACGGGGCAGATCTATGGGGCTATGGGGCAGATGTGGGGCTACAGGGGCAGATCTGTGGGGCTACGGGGCAGATCTATGGGGCAGGGAAGGGCCTATAGGGCAGATGTGGGTCTATGGGCAGGTCTAGGAGGCAGATCTATGGGGCAGATCCGGGGCTATGGGGCAGACTTACAGAGCACATCTAGGGGCAGGGAAGGGTCGATGGGGCAGATCAATGGGTCAGATCCAGATCCATGGGTCAGATCTGTGGAGCAGATCCAGGTCCATGGGGCAGGCTCTGTGGGGCAGATCCGGATCTATGGGGCAGGATCTATAGGGCAGATCTATGGAGCAGATCTGTGAGGCAGATCCAGATCTATGGGTCAGAACTACGGGTCA